CAAAGTTGTGCTTCGTGCAGCGAATGCCAGCGCTGCGGGGGCGTTTAGACCGACAAGCTTCCCTCCCAGGACCGACAGGAAGACGTTTCCAGCTGCGGCTGCCGTCGCCAGGATAATAGTGAGGAAACCGGCGAGACCGAAGAGCTGTCGTTGGCATTCGTATAGCTTGAAGCCCCATATCAGAATTCCGCATTCGAGGATCGAAAGTGCAGCGTCACCGGCGCCAAACCACGGGCTTCGTCCGTCCGAAAGGGGCGTTCCAGTTGCCACAGAGGTCCAAAGAACATAAAGGGGTGTTCCTCCGCTGAAATCGCGCAGTACTTTGTCTATACTGCCGTAGCCATATGCGCCCGCTTTGGCTCGGGTATATGCCGTCATGAGGAGGGTCGTGAACAGGACAGGATTCATAAGCGTGACGATTGTGTTCTTGAGCTTCGGCATGTCAGTGCAAAGTTGCGAGGCCTTGAAGGCTCGCTGGAGTCGCAGTGTGAGTACCCAGACGAACCAGAGAACGCAGCCATCGAGGATGCGGTCATCGTTAGTGGCGGCAGCTACTGGTGCTCCAATCACAAAGATGGCTAGAGACGATGCGATCAGTGGAAAGTTGGACATCCAAAAGTGCCAACCCCGTGACACTGGAACCGGATCCTTGGAAACAACGGATGATCGTTGGCTGGCTGTTGCTGAGGTTGCTTCGTCCGGCCCGGATCTCGGCGGGTTTGCTGCTTTTTCGCGACGGCCAAACACACGCTGTTGTCCTTGGTCCAGAGTTGAGTCGGAGAGCCAACTGGTTTCGATCGGGGGAAGAGTTCCTACAATAGGCTGCGGAAGGCAAAATTCGTCGGGCACTTGGCTAGTCATTCGCGCCACACAGCTCATAACGAGAAGCGAGAGGGCAAAAACCATGACCCAAGAAGCAAGGTTGGTTATGACTGGAGCAATGATGAGAAAAGCTTCGAGAGGTTTTTGTACTGAAACGTACCAAAGTTGCCAATGACGCAGCCGATATCGCGGCCGCTGAGAATATCGCTCTGGTTGAGCATGACGAGAGGGATTGGAAAGCCCAAACCAAGATGGACATTGATGAAGTCGACCTGAAACGAAAGTTAGTGCTGCCGTTATGGGGAATCGTGTTCACTTACCTTGGATTTGATGTGCCTTCGATACACACCATCAACATCAGCGAAGCACAGGTAGACCGCAGCCATGAAGCAAAATGTCAGAATCATTCCAAAAATAGAGGAGAAGAACTCGAGATGCACAGGAGCCAACGCCCTACTCAAACCCCATATGATGACCTCGCTCATGAGATAGACGACGACGACCCAGCCAAACTCCAGCACATTGCCGGCGACAGTGATGAATCGCGTCCTCCAGAGATCTGATAGCGACATGTCTCGGGCTGCTTGAAACAGTGATTGTGGGGAGTTGATCCATGACGGCCTCGAGAGGGGCGGATTGCGAGCTTCATTTGAGGGTCTGAGACAGCGGAGGATTTCAGAAACGTTGTTTCTAATGGTAGTAGTCATGGTGCAACCGCAACTGCAACTGCAACATCGACGTGATGAGCACAGCCAGGTTGGTGAGGGTGAAGAAGCACAAGGTCGGCGGTTTTGGAGGCGTTACACATGAAGATATAATACACCCCCTTCGCGACTTGCGGAAGGGTGACCGTTTAAAAAGGGCCCGAGGGACAAGCGAGATGTGTTGAAAAGAGAAAAGAGGGATTGGAAACGGGTGAATGGGGGAAGCAGAAGTGTTGACAGTGACAAGGCCAAGCCGGCCGGCGGTTTGCACTGGCAGAGCGTATTCTGCAGGCAATGGTCACATATTCACAGTTACAGGTCTGTTTGAAACACATTATCGTTCTATATGTTGCCGTGTGCAGCTCTTTTTGGAAAGATGATGTAGGGACCCGGCATATCTCCAATCTAGATCGGCCTGTTACCGAGCATGTCTGAAGGAATTGGACCACCTTTGGCCATGTCAGATTGGCTGCATGTAATATCTTGCTTTGCGTCGGTTTGACACATTGAACGGGAAGAACGGGACTGCACCGCCCTGAAGCCAGACCGTCTCGTTTGAAGGGTGTTTTTCGATCTTGTATCATTCTTTTCCCGCCACGAGGGTTGTTTGACAAAACGTCATGATGGAGAGGACCAGAAACAGATTGGAACATGACTATATTCCCCGTGGGGAGTTTACGTACAAATGAGCAATGAATACATGAGGCTGGGAGACTTGTTCAGATGGTGACGGTTTCTTGGTCACGGCAGGGAGGACGATGCTGGGGGACGTGGGACGGGAGTTCAAACGGATGAGGAGGGGGATGTATCATATATGCAGATGACGAGTATGATGGCTTGGTGTTTGCTAAGCTATTTTATTTTATTTTTGTAAGCTGATATCTGAGACTTGCATAAAAGCAAGCATCTATCTTATCAAACAACTCTGAAGATGGCGATGCTGTCGTGCCTTGTAATGGCAGTGTGTCAACAGGACACCCCCCCTTCATTAAACAGCCTGAATGCATGCACAGCCGTTGTGATCTGAGAATATTTCTCTTTTCACCAATAATCGCCTCTTGTAAAGAGCATCAAGATGTCCGTGGAAGCTCGCCTCATGCAAGATGCGCTGTAGATGCTGTGGCACGCTAGCCCCGCCTTCACTGGTCTTCAGGTGTACGTCCACTGAAAAAAAAGTGCCGCGAAGGGTCCAGGGGTTGTTTGACCGCCCGGGATCTTTGGGCCGACATTTGACGTCTGGGGCGTTTGTTTTGTTTGAATATGAGGTTATCTTGAGCATCACCACGACGGCACGACAAAGCATTGACGTTTGAGTGAACTGTTTTTGAAAGCCAATTGCTCGTATTCTTGGTTGCTTTCCTATTCTCGGCTGGGGTTTATTTGCTTGGGTGGACAAACTCATTGAGGCTCAGGACACCGTCTGTTTGAATATCGTCCACAACACCAATCTCCATTCATTGTCCTCAGCAACATCTCCATCTTTTCCCAGAGACGACTTGTGCCATCATAAACACCGCTCCTGAGGCAAAGTGTTGGCTGTACCACCCCATCACGGACGGTTACTTCAAAAACGCCACCTCGCTATTCCACAGGTTCAAAATGGATCTCGGCCCCAAGCACCGCGCAGAAGCCCTGCTCCTCAAGGCAGCCCGCGCGTACGGCATCCCCGCCTCCAAGGAAGACGTGCAACACGCCCTATCAGACGCTTCATTCGTTGACTGGGCAAATCTGCATCTCGCGAGCGATCACCTCCTTACGGGTGATGAGCTGGCACTGTGAGTCGTTTAACGACCTTTTGTGTATCTGTATTATGCTGACAAGGCGGGGTTAGGTATACTGAGCTTGATAAGAGCGGGCAGGTTGACAGGTTGGCGGACCTGCATGATTTGGGGGAGGTGCAGGCGGTGAATGAGGATGATGTTCGTGCGGCGATCGAAGAGCTGAATAGGTCGACGGCTACGATATCGAAGCAGACTGAGACGCTGAAACAGCAGCGTGATGCGCTGGCGAGGTTGGTGAAGAAGCGTGATGAGGCGGAGACTCAGAGGAGGGATCTTGAAGAGGCGCGCCTTAATAAGACGAAACATGCCTTGAAGAAATTGGTGTTTGAGGTAACACAGACTAGTCCGAGGTCGTTTGAGAGAGGGAGTTGCTAATGTGGTGTAGGTTGATGGCGAGGCACAGAGCTTGGAGTATCGTGTTGCAGATCTGGAGCAGATTGCCAAGGACTCGCGATCGAATCTTAAGAAGACGGTCGATACGGTGTTTCAGTCTGATGATAAGTTACTGTCGAGTCTGCAAAAGCTCGGATGGGAACTTGATCAGCAGGATCCAGAGGAGGAGAAGACGATTGAGAAGTTGAGGGAGACTTGTATGAGGTACGTCCCCCGTTTATCATTGTATTGATCTGTACTAATTGGGGTAGGTTGATCAAAACAACAGTTGAGACACTGAGGACGAGATTGGATAGAATCTATCTCGAGGCTATCCTTGCGGCGGAGCGCTCGGGAGATGTCAAGGCTGCTACTCAGGAAGACGTTAAAGCTCTCGAGGAAGAGCTCGAGTCGCTATACTCGGAGATCTTGCCTGTTGCACAAATGTCTGCTGAGCAGCAGCATTTGGAACCAGCGTTGAAGGCAACGAATGCTCAGAGCGGACAGAGCATTCATCGTTCAGCAGTGGCAGTTTCCTACGTATGTGTATTTCACTAGCATCTTCTTCGTGCCGCTAATACTGTCTAGGTCAACGAGTGTCTCGACTATCTCGTAGAAAGGATAACACTCCTCACAGAACGTGTCGAAACTCTCAAATCCCACAACGCAGCAGCGTCCTCCATCATTGCCACAGCCAAAGCAGAAGTATCTGCCTCGCTATCCCCGGAAAAGAAGAAATCTATCAGAGCCGCTATGCCAGCATCTCCCATTCGGAACCCCTCACCAATTCGCATGCGCGCCAACACAGACGGTGCGCGCCGCAGCAACAATAACAGACGCCGCTCATCCGGTATTCTCGACGAGCCTGCAATTGAAGCTCTTCTGCGCGATTTGGCGCTCTCACTACCCGACGCAGAAGAAGCTTCCATCCAAGACCAAGTATCAGCACTGAACAAAGCGTTCACCGAAAGATCTGGCAAAACTACAGATGTGGTGCGTAATGCACAGGATAGCTTTGAGACGAGCGTTACTTCTAGGTTGGACGATGCTAGGTTGGCGATTCAGCTTTTGCGTGATAGTGTATTGGCGGAGAGTCCGTTTGGAGAGATCAAGATGGTCGATCCGGAGTTTGAAGGGTCGATTGATGTATTGAGTCAAGAGGTGGATAAGGTCAAGGAGAAGTTGGATGGTGTTGTCGCCAAGAAAGCGTTGGCGAAGAGTGTGAAGAAGGATGAGTTTGTGCAGAGATGGGCATCATAAGTCAAAGAAGGCAAATCCAGTAAGATGCGTAGATGATCTGTTATTATTTAATTAATATTCTTTATACATGCAGCCATGCATGGTCGATAAACATTGGCTGCGAGAATATACTATCGAGAGAATACTGCTCCAAACCTTCGTAAATATCAGCAGTCATCGAATCGCCCAGCGAAGTCTGTCGTTGGTCCGTTCGTCTTTCACCGACAGGGTGAACAAAAGTCGTTTGCACACTAACAGTTGTTTTCGAAGCATCAGATTGACCGCCCTGTGTACCATCAGTCGTAGGCTGTGGTGCCACAGCGTCCATGATATCCGAGTCGATGAGTTGCCAGATCTTGGAGGGCTGAAAACTAATCATGTTGTTATCCTGTGCTTGACTCGACATTGTTTGCAACTGATGTAAGAGTTCTCGCTGTCATGGTTAGTATATGCTCCTAGCTGGGCGTGTTCTGACGAACCTTGTGTATGCTTCTTGGCGAAGGATCAGGCATCGACTCTAGAAACTCGATGCATTTTCTATAATTCTCCTTTGACGTTTCTGAGACTTTCGCGTCCCTCGCATACTGGAAAAGCCACGGTATTGTCGCCGTCGCAGCGACTAAGTCGCCTATTAATGGGTCATACACCATTAATCCACGATCTATACATGTTTGGACTAAGCGCGCTACCCAAGCTGAGTGAAACATAGCTTGGTCGACAGTTTGCTGGAGGAATAATCTCGGTTGGGAAGGGCGATTCGCTCTTCGAAGGGTAACAAGATGGATGAATGGATGATTCAATAACCCTTGTGTTGCGTGCGCTGTGATTTGGAAGAGGAGCCATGGGGCCCAGTACTCTCGATGTCTTTCGAATTCCTCTGGTGTTCGTTCCGAAAAGCCCACGTTGCGAACGAAATGTACATGACCGAGTCTAGACTCGAGATCATATAGTGTATTCGTCAATTGGTAAAAATTGGAATTTGTATCAGCAGGGTTATCAGCCTTTCCGATATGCAGCGCGTGAAGATACGAGATAACGTCGCCGCAGAACGATACAGCGCGTACAGCATGTGATGTTATCCCGGGGTCTGTTCTCAAATCGTCGCGAATACTTTCTAGATCTGGCGCGTATTCTTCATCGCCTAGATATGCTGGTGGTGAGGGCTCTCTTGCGCTGCGAGGATAGTCTGGTTTGGTGTGTGTTTGAGAGAGGAGAGTGAAACGAGGAGCGAAGCCTTTTTCGAGGATGAAGACACTCCAGTAACATCTGAGGCTGGCGTCGCCTTGGGGATTGTGGGGGGACTCAGAGTAACCTGCTCCGCGGACGAGTTCGAGTCTACTGGCTGCTCCTATTGTCATTAAAGCCAATGCTGGTCTTCCCTCTGTAGCTGGGTTAGTGCTGTAGTGATCGGAGAGAGCGGGGTGGGTACCGAGGATGTCACCCAGAGCAAGGAGACATAGAGCTTGTGAGATTTCCAACTGGGCTGTTCCTCGCATGGCGAGTTCGAGCACCATATCTCGCGCAGACCTTGCATGAGAGTGAATCAAGTCAGCTTCCTTCGCACTGCTCGAATCATAGGGGAGATTGGACAGCGCAAGTGCTAAGAAGTTCCACTGAAGAAACATGGGGAATCTCTCGATCCGATCTCTCAGCCCTTCTGGATCGAAGAGAGGCAGTGGTTGGAAGTATAACCGTCTTCGGTATTCTTCTACGGCATGGTCGAGTGAATCTGGCGATGGCCTTGCCTCTGTTGCTGAAGGGAGCCTTGTCGTTGTGAGCTTATTGTATGAGGTATAGAAGGTTATCTTACCAAGACACTGAGACTTCATCGTTAATGCTCACCCTGTTCAATCGTCTTGAAGCGCTTTCGACGAAAGATCCGGACCTGTTTGTATGCCTCGGGAGGGAGTCCGGAGTCAAGGCTGAGCCATTGCTTGATGAGGCAGCTTGAGGATGGCTTTACACCTGTTAGCAGTTGCAGCAACAATGAAACCTCCGTCTTTCTTACTGGGTAAGCTCGTATATCTCATCGCCCCGATTCTCAACACTCGAAACACGATCCCTCGATCCCGGTTGTCTGATCACTCATAAGACAAGTCATTAAGCCAAGATCACAACTCACGCTCGGGAAGTCCTCCTTCTTCGCTTCACAGTCTCTCGATTCCTCGGTAGATATTCACAAGGCTGATTCAGCCTCTCACAAAAAGAGCACACAGGTCGTTCCCCAGTACATCTCGTCTTCTTCCGCCTGTCCCCGGATTAGAAAACGGATTAGAAAACAACCCTTGTAGATACATCATACGACTCACCGGCAGCTCTCGCACGCGCGCCGAACGGATGATTCGGGATTGCCTGTCATTACGAAGTCGACAGTGGGGCTGGTGGACAAGCATTCAGAAGAAGTATATACAATATGTAGTTGAGATGAAGAGGACGAGACGCGGATTCTCCGTGCCCACCTTTACAGGGAAAAAGTACACGTGACTCAGTTGGAGAAGCTCACGGATGACTCCGAGATACTGGCTTTTTAAATATTAGAAAGATACCGAATTCCAGAGCTTTTTCCTTGAGCGTATCTCATGATTTGGGAAGTTGATCTAGTGATAGCGTTATTAGTGAGTCGTTGAGCGGAGAATTGTCGTGGTAGTTTTCCGTGCCCGCTGGTGAAGAGACGGTGAAACACGATTGGTCAATGCCTCTAGACACGGAGTTTTAGACCAAATTTCCGTCTTGGACATCGACTTATACAAGTCGCTTGTCTACTATAAGACGGGCTGATTGTTTCTTCCTTTCCATTCTTTAGACTACAACTTGTTCTTATCACTAGTAATTTCTTATCTCAACATCGCCATGACTTCTAGAACGCCTGCATCGAAGAATGAGCCCATCGTCATCGTGGGCGCTGGTGTCTTTGGCCTTTCAACTGCACTTGAACTCAAGAAGAGAGGTTATCAACATGTCACAGTGCTCGATAGGTATTTACCACCTGTGATAGATGGAAGTAGTGTTGATATTTCACGTGTTATTCGCGTGGAATATGCTGATCCTTTCTACGGCAAGATGGCGACTGAAGCCCTCGAAGGCTGGACAGGTCAATATTCACAACACTACCATCAGTCGGGCTTTGTGATGCTCACTGATGCTGGTGGGAACTCCTTTGTTGAGCAGAGTAAAGAGTCTAACAAGACTCTTGGTGGGACACTGGAGGAGTATGAGAATGCACACGATATTCGAAAACAGTTTCCTGCGGTCCAGTCTCAGCTTGATGGCAAGAAGGCGTACTTCAACAAGACTGGTGGTTGGGCGGATGCCGAGTCTAGTATACAGCAACTAGCTACCGAGTGTTCTCTTGCTGGTGTGTCGTTCATCACAGGCCCCAGAGGGAGAGCTTTATCTCTACGTTACAGCGACAAGAAAGTCACGGGTGTCAACGTCGCCGAAGGTGACACTATCCCTGCCGCACAGGTCATTATAGCCACTGGAGCGTGGTCGAACAGACTCCTCCCAATCAGTCATGCCTCATCTGGTTCCGGACAGCCAGTTGGCTTTATTCGTCTCACCCCCCATGAAGCAGAGAGACTCAAGGACATGCCCGTCATCATCAATCTCAGCACAGGAGTCTTTGTATTTCCTCCCACGCCAAAGACAAATATTCTCAAGATTGCTCGTCACGGTTACGGATGGGCTACTGAGGTTGAAGTCAAAGATCCTCTCGGGCAAACTCGAGTGGTATCATCTCCTAAACGAGACGAAAACAACGCAACAACCAATTATTTACCAGCAGATGCATTGAAAGCTCTTCGTGAGGGACTACAAGATCTCGTACCAGAGGTTGCCGACCGGGAGTGGTTGAGAACACGACTTTGTTGGTACTCTGATACACCTGAGGGAGACTTTATCGTGGATCATCATCCCGTGCGCGAGGGTCTTTTCCTTGCTACTGGTGGTGCTGGACAGTGAGTTACTCATGAAACCTAACGTGAAGTTGTACTGAAAATTATGCAGCGCTTTCAAATTTCTCCCTGTGCTTGGAAGATATGTTGTTGATTGTTTTGAAAACAAGGCTCCTAAGGAGCTTCGACACAAGTGGAGGCTACGAGCGCCAACTGGACAGGACATGGTGAAGCAGGGTGATGGTAGTCGGGGCGGTCCTCCTTTGAGGAAGTTGACAAGAGCTGAGCAGTCCAAGTTGTGAAAAGAATAGATGTATTGGTTCGTCGAGAACGATAGACTGCCAAGATAAAGGGGAGTATACACCACAACAACCGAAGCATTACCACCACCTGTGAACTATCATCGGTAGTCTTTGAGCTACGAGTGACTTTGGTCCATGCCGCCAAAATAGTCATGCGACAGGACGCAGTGTACGATCCATGATCTGGGACGAGCCCATGGCCGTGGGCGCATGCAACATCGTACCCGTTTCGCATACCACATACCACATACTATATAGAGCAATAAAATGTTTCAAGCATGCTAGGTGAGACCTAATGCTTGTATACGAAGTACATGTCACGCCTACGTTTACGCATGGCCCCTACGATGGTGTTTTGGTGCTGTATTATGTGGGATATGGACATATGTGTGACATGTAATATCCCAAAGTTCGGTGACTAGACTCGACCCCGTTACCAGCTGTGTCTGACCACCGACCACGTTTGTGATGGTCTTAGCCAAGAGGAGCACACGTGAAAGCGTTCTTGACAGTTCCGTGGTCATACTGGTCGATCTGCGGATGATGTTAGTTGATGTTGCGTGAAGTTTGTGTGAGTTGGCTTACAATATCGATGACGGCAGAGTAGGTTCCCGCTACCAAGAAGACAAGACCCATGATGAAGATGATGGCGTTGACAACGCTGGGAAGGATGTTCTTCTTGCTGTACCATTTACCTTCTCTCAAAAGCATGAACCACATTACTGCAGGCCAATACAGGGTGAAGCCTGAGTTCAGCAAACTAGATGTGATGGCAATCAAGTCGCTGAAGAAGGGAATAGCCTCGGCGATAACGAAACCGATCCAGGTGAAGATGCTGATGAGCAGGAGCCAAGAGATCCAGCCCTTAGGGGTGTTGATGTACTTGGCTATGGAATTTTCATAGATGCGACCGTGGATATAGCGCACAGCGACAGTCGTGTTGATCGAGCCGCTGATGAAAATAACTGGCAAGGCGACGCCAAAGGCAACCTTGGCAACAGTGTGGCCTGCAGATAAAAGAGCTGGAGATTTGACATCGATACCAACGAAGGAGTAGATGAGAGCGCCGGTGAGGGTATAGATAACAATTTCGATACCACCGAGCGTCCATATAGCCTTCATGTAGTCGGTAGGCGTGTGCATTTCATCCATGAAGCTGAACTGCGAGATAGAGAAGCTGTAGGCGAAGAAGATGTTGCAAAGCGCAATAAAGGCCTGAGCAAACGTGACATCAGGCTTGGGCCAGGCGGACCAATTGGCCGGTTCGGGTGCATCAGAAGCTCGAATACCAGTCGCGATGATGGTGACTCCGATAGCTGCAATGATCGAAGCGAAGTCGATATAGCCCAGAATAGCCACCTCTGCAAAACTGGGAGGCACAGCAAGAAGCAGCAGCAGGACAGCAGAGATGACGCCCCAGACAAGACTGCAGATATTACTCTCAGTCAAAGTCGCAAAGGCGATAGTCCCCGTCAAGCAATGCGACGCTGTGAGGAGCAACAACTGAAGCGTAACCATGACACCAAAAGCCTCAGCACCCCAACGTCCAAACATGAGTCCTCCCGCAGCAGGGTAGTGCTCGACATGCGGATACCTAACCTTGACCTGCCCAACGATATACGACGTGTAAATCGCAATGAGCCCAATGCCAATCGAGCAGATAACGCCCGCGACCATGCCCAGCGTCGCAAAGGCGCCGGGGATGGAGAGCGAGCCGAGCGCGACGGCCTGGACGATGAGAACGATGGTGAGGCGCTTCCAGCCGAGACGGCTGAACTTGGCCTTGCCGTCGAGGATCTTGCGCTTCTCGAACTCGGTTACTTCGCCGACCATTTTCTCGCTGGTGGAATCGTCATCTTGGGCGATGGGGGCGGAGAGGATGTTGTTGTCCTGAGGGCCCTGGTGCTTGTCCTTGTTTTTGCTGGCGGTGGAGGCCGCGGGGGTGATGGAGGAGGTCATTGTCTTTTTGATGAGTGTAGCTTAGTCTCCCATTGTCACACAGACTGATTATTTGGTGAACTCGTCAAGAGATTCAGAGAGAATGAGTGTGAGGATGTGATGAGCAAAGAAGGGACGGGGCTGGCTTTGTAGGGCCACGGTATATGACTCCCCGTTAGCCCGACGTCGGACGGGACGTGGAGACTCCATATTGAACCATCTGGATCCATGTGAGCAGAGGCGAGAATTCAGAAAAAGTTTGTCAGTCCATGGCAATGGCATGTCATACGAAAAGCCAGGACCGGGTCATTCTACGATCCATGATGGAGTACAAGTGGATCATCCCGTGGTGTTTCTAGAAGGATTAGCAAGTAAACCCTTTTTAAACACCCCTAATTGGTTAAAGCGATGGGGCTCAAATAATAGCCGAATCAGCTAACATCGTAGCTCAACAACATCAGATTTTTATAAGACTTTTCTTAACATTCTCTACCAATTCAACTTGAGTTACTCATGACAAGATGACAATTGCACAACAATAATTGACTGCTCTCGTAATTCTTAGTAAAAAGAAATACTTATTTGGCTGGGGAAGCTTGTAAAGGTCCCTGAAAGAGGGAAAAAGAAGCTGATCGTCTTTTGTGGATTCTGTTACTCAAAAGTCGGTCCATTTTACCTAATCAACCTGGATTCAAGCGGAGGCACCGAGTCAGAAGCTTCAGCGAGATGGGCTGTCGCCCCCTTGAATTTTGATACAGAAAAGACGCGGAGCCGAGCCGAGGGAAAGGAGAGGTGCCGGCGGATGTGGAGGAGATTGGGAAGTCTAAACTTTATATGGTGATTGTTGCATCAAGTATCGCGACTTACAGGTGTGGTGTTGAGCTACAATGCACTGGAACACGGATATAGACGGCTCTATTCATTGCATTTTAAGAGCAGCACGACTACAAATAGAGCTTTTCACTGACATCTTATTGGCCATTACGCTTCTGCTCGGCAATCCGTCTACACGTTCATATCACAGAGTCACGTTCCGCAGCCGCCGTACGTAATAAGATCCCTTTTCAGCTCGCATGCTTTACTTCCCCAAGTTTTCTCCAGATGATCTCCCAACTCAATCATAATCCCCCACGTTGAGTTCTTTTGCTTGCATGACCCGCTATGTCTAACAGCTCGTCTTAATGAGGTAGCTGTTGAGGCTAGGCTCCTTCATTACGTACAGGAGGTTTCCGTGGGTATCTGGGGTCTCGCCCACTTCTTACGAAAAGAAGAACTCGGACCGTGTAAAACATTGCCTGCTTCAAGTAAGACCGCCTGTGGTGACATGTTACTCGATAGGGTGAGCACGGATGGAAATACATCGATGTGGTAAATTATCTCTATCTTTTGTATTCAATATCTCATTATCATGAAGGAAGTCTTGACTTGACTGACAATAACTGTCGCCTTTTCCATCTCAGATCACCATTTGCTTTTCGCATCTTCTCACCCGATCTTCAATACTAATGACTTTCGACGATGTAGGCCGCGGAAACTCCCCTAAAAACTTCTACCCTCATCTGTAGCATGGTATCCATTTCCATTCGTGAACCTCTCCTCCTGACTCACCACCAGCTTTGGGAGTCCAAAGCCAACACCAAAGAACACAAAGATAGCCCACTTCCATCGGAAAGGGTTGATAACCACACAGAAGAAGAACCACCAGATCAACTCCAAGTAAGTAAAAAAGTCGAAAGCGCCAGTTGGACTGGTAAGCTTGAGTGTCTTGGTCATATCGATCCAGCGCTGCATCCAGAAGGGACTAGGTCGAGAGAACGGGTCCATGAGGAACATGAGGAGGATTCGAGTGTAGATACCAATGTGCCAGTTACCAACGGTGCCAATGGCGTTGACGTATGTGCAGTTGATGGCTGAGACGGAGGGGTGAGTGGGTGGGAAGGTCTGGAGATACCAATTCGGCGGTGGGTAGGGTTCCTCGAAGCAATCCTTGGGGAGGAAAGATAGAGAAGGTCTTTTGAAACCAGTAGCCATAACGACAATATCAGCATCGATGACTTCCTCGTGACCAGGACCACCTTGCGGTACACCCTTGGCACGTCGATTAACTTGAACACCGCTCTCGACAAACTCATCGATATCACAGCGAACCCATTCAGCTCTACCCTCGCGCAGCTTGTCCATAATGTCAGAGTTAACCATAGGTGTCTCCATGAACAAACCGTGGTTCTTATCAGGCGCAATATCCTCAAGATCTCGGTAGAAGAACTTGCGCAGGAAGAACTCTGGGATAAACGACAGAACTGTCTCCTGGCCAAAGATGTTGAAGCTCAGAAGTGTATCGACGACCATGTTACGGGGAATGATCCACTTGTCTGAGCGCGATAGAATGGTCGCTTTGGCAGCATCTTCTGTGAAAGCAAACTCAAGCGCTTCAACAGCAGAGGCACCTCCACCAATGATGGCCATCTTCTTACCCTTCACATCCTTTCTAATAACAAGTCAGCGGGCTGGATCGTGAGTTGGGAAGCCGAGTGACATACCCAGTGAGTTCGCTAGAGTGGTAAATAGGACCTTTGAAGTTGTCCATGCCGGGGATCTTTGGCATCTTTGGCGCGCCACAAGTTCCGACCGCAGCAATGACACCGCCAAAGCGCCCGAGGGAAGGGTCGTTGACAATCCATCGGCCCTGGTCATCTTGGTACACGCGATCAATTTTTGTGTTGAAGCGTGTTCTCTCTTTGAGGCCATAGCGTTCCCAGAGCTGTCGGACCTGGCTGAGAATTTGCTGACGGTCGGGATACCCACGATTCCACTGAACAGAAGGATGGAATCGATACATCAATGAATGAATCTGAAGCCCAGATGTTTCATTGACTCTCTGGATTTTATTAACGTCAAGATAATTATAAAATCATAGCGTAGTGAAACTTACACTCCAAATACCACCAACATTATCCTTGGACCCAGCTTCGAAAATCACAACATCAAAGCCATGGCCAATACAATGAGCCGCACTTGTAACGCCCGTAATTCCCGCCCCAATGACTGCAATCTTAGGTCTA